GATTGCATGCGAATCAGAATCAGTCCGCTTTGTTCATCTGTTGTTTTTTATTCTTGCCATACAACCAACCCAGTCGGTTTTTTTTGGAGGGGAGGAGGTGGGGAAGGCTAGGAATGAAAGGACAGGCGTGGGGGGAGGGGGATACAGCACTTTTGCAAGTCATTTACCCGAACAGAATCGCAGTTCTTCGTGGAATTATGCTGTGATTTGCTACCAACCACCAGGCCTTATTCGATGATACATCGAATTGCCGTGAAATTTTTCTTCTCAGCAAGCGTATTTCGATATTTCATTGCCATGCAGCTGAGCTACCACTGTAGTGAAATTGAAAGGCATCACTTGTCAAGAACCCTCGAGAAAGCTTGAAAAAGATTTTTTTATGTGATAAAAATAGTTATAGTGGGCCTAGTCGAAGCCAAAGACTACGCGCGCGTTGCAGTTGTGTTTTTATCCAACGGATTTAGGGTAGCCCCTACAAAAGGATGCCAGGATTTCGATCGGGAACTGAAGTGCTGTAGATTTTGTCAGGATTACGATCAATTTATCTGATCCTTCCAATTAAACTAACGATTTCGTCTCTGCTAGTTTTCATCTTTATTTCGTCGAAAACAAGTGTTTTGTTTAGTATTTTCGAAGAAAATTAGAAATCCGCCCAGCGGCAATTGTAGCTCCGGTGTATTTTGTTAAACTGGAAGAGTTTTTGTGGCTTATCTTCTAATAAACATTGTTACCCTTTAACAACAGCACTTTCATGGCCGTTGTAGTTACTTAAGACGTCTCTTAAGTTTGTAAAAAGTATTTGTTCTGTTTCTTTTTTTGTTTGCTCAAAATCAAACATGTTATTCATCACTATTTTTTGCCGTAGAATAGGCCTAGCTATCCAAGCAACACCCTTTTTTCATCTTATATTCACCATCCCACAATAACCGCTTTGTCCATCTGTTGTCTCTCATTCATGTCACATGAAGTATCTCGGCTGTCTTTTTGGAGCAGTTTTATAGTTTCAAAACGTCGTTGTAGTATTCAGCAGCAAAGAAATGCGAATTAAATCATAGCAAAATTTTGCTAAATTTTTTAAAATTCACAAAAAAAGTACTGTTTTATTTTTCCGTTTTTACGTGTTTTTTTTGCGGCGATTTGCTGTAGTTTAAAAAAAAAAGTGAAGTAATTGCCAAATATTCAAAAATTTGAATTTATAGGACAGCAAGAAATTCTCAGTCGAAAAAAACAGTTTGCGTAGGGGAAGTGAAGAATGGTCGAATTTGTGGTGCAGAACTTCACATACCGCCATCAGTGGATTTATCCCGTGAAGAAAGCACCGGAACAGGTTGCATTTTTGCTTAATCTTCACATTTTATAGACTCATTTTTTATTGTAAGGCTGGTAATTTACTGATAAGCCGATTATAGCAATCAGGTTGACCTTGAAAGCCTAAAAGACGAAAGCGCGATAGATTATAATATGAAGGATTAGTATGAGAAAAGAGGGTAAGAGTGAGATAAGACGTTTCAGTCCATTAAGTCATATACGTCTTAACACCGCCACAGGACCTCGTCGCAATGCTTAATGGAAAAAGAAAAGAAAAGGGAAAAAAGACAGGAAGAAACAGAAAGGGAAACGATGTGATT